GAGCAGACAGTGTCCCTACAAACCCAGGAGCCAGGCAGAAAGAGAAATCACACACACGACAGGCCCTGGAGCAGTGTGGTTATCCTGACTGGAATTCTAGGACTAAATTGGCCCACAATATTTTTTTGAAAGTACACACAGAAGTATACTGATGGTAATCTTCTAAGTATACTTTTAGTTTAATCTTGAAATATACTACAAACAAACCAGTCTGTGTGAAAATGTACTTTCAGTGTACTACTAAAGTTTATCTTGGCCAAAAGTTCAAACATTTGTTTAGACTAAATATATTTAAACTTTTAGAATACTTTTAGTACAAGAAAAGTGTAGTGTAAGATAAACTTGGTTAAGTTTATCTCGGATAAGTACATAAAAAGTAAACTAGAAGTATGCTCTTTTATTTTTAGTTTAGAATTAGTGTATTGTATTTGGTTTTATTTAGTATATTTGGCTTTACTTGGATATTCTGGCAGGAATATTATGATAATCCTGCCAGATGGGCCTCAGGCTGCATAGGAAGTGCTACAGCTAGCTGCTGCAAAGTAAATATTATTATTGTGTTAAATTAAGATGAATGGAGTTAAATTCGACGTGTTTTTGAGTGTACTGGTCCAACTCTAATACTTTAACACTGCTGACTTTTCTGTGTGCTGTTTGCAGTTAATTGCATTAATCTGTGTAACTTTTTATTTGATCTATTATAGCCTCTGTCACCTTTGACCCAGAGTGTTCAAACTGCATCAGGCTTCAGCTTTTAGTGAAGATTTGTGTTTGTCTTGTGCACTCTGTACATCGTTGCTTTTAGTTTTGTGTAGCGTGTAGATTTGGCCAGAGTCACATGAAGACATGCAAACATTTTCCCTCAGCTGTTCACATCTTGAGCACCGCTGCTAAAAAGCTCTTGGTATCTTTTTTTTCCCCCTGGGGGCTCAGGCACACAGTTTATAATGCTGATGACAAACATCCCTGAAATCCTCTCACAGCTGCTCGTGTCCTCCCACGTTTCTGCTCTTCTTTTTTTAGTCCCTCGTTACTTTTTACTCAAATTCCTCAAATATCCATAAAGTTTCCCCTCCTTCTCCTGGGCCCAACCTCTCTAAACACGCTCGAGCTCACGAGGAAAACAGCACACACGTATGGAAAGCCAGCAGTGACAAATCTACGTGAACATTACGCGTCCAATTGATGCGTAAATGACACGTCAACAATGCGTAAACAATGCATTGTTGACGCGTCGAAATTTAACACGTAACTGCGTGTAATATACGTGTGAAATACGCGCCAACAACGCATACTTTACACATTGCTTGCACCTTATTTGAGGTGCAAATTTGTATGTTTATGTCCCTTTGGGTAACTTAACTTCCTTACGGTTTAGGTGGCATCTGTTCTCATTGGCTGTCAGGTCCAGGGCTAAACCACTTCAACAAAAAAGATAAAGAGACGGAGATGCTACATTTCTGCTTATATTTTAATTTTAAAAAGCCAGATGTTTCTTTTACTTTTTAATAAAGTTATTAATAAACCTAAGAACTGTTTAATAAACCTGGTTCTGTTTCCTATTTCTGCCAAAATTATTGTTATTTACGTGTCAAATCAACGCGTAATGTCCACGTGTATTTGTCACTGCTAGCTTTCCGTACACACGGGCCAGAGCCACGTCGTCCCCGCTCCACACAGCAGTCATGTGACTAAACACTCGCATCCCATCACCTCTCACCAACCCCCGATCCTGTCTTTTCCTTCACTTTTTATCTCACTCGGCAGGAATTTGCGTCCTCGGGCAGAGCTGGGGAGGAGACGTTTGGCAGGAGATGTTGGACAAAACAAAAGGAAAAAGAAAACTAGAAGGAGGAAAGTATTTTCTGTGAATCCAGTCGTTCTCGTCACCTCTCGACGCCTCGTGGAGGTTCGCACCGATGAGAGACGACAAACCACAGAGGGGATGGGAACCAGGAAAAGTACGACTACAAAAGCCATTTTTCACCCCTTCCTCTCCTTTTTTTTAAACATTTATTTAAGACCATTTAATTCTTCCTGTTAAAACTACTGTGTGAGTGTCGTCACCTTCAGTAAACGGCTCCCAGTTGTAGAGGCGACCCATGAACTCCTGCGTGTTAAAGGCTGCGCACTGCTCCACTCTGGAGTCCAACGCACCTCCTCCACACACCTGCAGGGGAAAAAAACAAACACAATTAAAAAAGAGACACAAACATTAACGTTTAAATCTCTGAGCCGATGGAAACTGAATCCAAGGCCTTTTCTCCACTGAGTCTCTGAAGAGGTCAGGGTGGAGCGCTGTAGACGAGAGAAAAATAAGCTAACAATGAAGCGGGAGAAATGACTTCTGAGATTGAAGGTTGGCACAAACACGCCTCGACTCTTCACATAAACACAGACACACACACACACACATACACACACACACACACACACAGACACACACACGCTGCTGCTCCGGGCAGCGTATAGGAACCATATGGAAGCGATCAGATGGTTTTTGGAAGCGGCTCCTCACATAAATTTGCCGTGACTCGCCGTGAATGCCAGCGACTGTGTGAGCGTGTGCACGTGTGTGCGCGCACGTGAGTGTGTTGGAGTGGATTTCCTCATGGAGCCCTTCAGCATACCTGAATATAAACACCAGAAGAAACTTTAGACTCTCGCCCTCTAATTCTCATTGTGTTTCAGAGTGAAGTTATAACAAGTGAAAGACTGAGAGTCTGACTGAAATCCATCCAGTGGTTCAGGAGATATTTTACTAACAGACAGAAAAGATTAATGTCAAACTTTAAACGAAGGTCCTGCATGAGCTTTCAGAGCTCAAAATTTGTGTTGGGGATGAGTCTCAGCCACTACCACACAAAATGACAGCTCCGTATTTCTATAACTGGCTGAGTGATCACCAGTTGTATGTTTGTTAAAATCTATTAGCAGTGGCGGCCATCTTGATTCAGGTTAACTTCAGTCAGTAATTTGTGGTAAATCTGCATCAAGTGATTCATGAGATATTTTACTGAAACTGATACTTTCTGGTTTATAAGCTGTTACATCATCAATCAATCAATCAATCAATCATGCATCCATCCATCCATCCATCTATCCATCCATCCATCCATCCATCCATCTATCCATCCATCCATCCATCCATCCATCCATCCATCCATCCATCAGAGCATCCATCCATCCATCCATCTATCCATCCATCCATCCATCCATCCATCTATCCATCCATCCATCCCTCCAACCATCCATCCATCCAACCATCCATCCATCCATCCCTCCAACCATCCATCCATCCATCCATCCATACCTCCAACCATCCATCCATCCATCCATCCATCAATCCATCCATCAATCCATCCATCCATCATCCATCCATCCATCCATCCATCAATCCATCCATCCATCCATCCATCCATCATCTATCCATCCATCCATCCATCCATCCATCATCCCTCCAACCATCCATCTATCCATCCATCCATCCATCCATCATCCATCCCTCCAACATCCATCCATCCATCCATCCATCCAACCATCTATCTATCTATCCATCCATCCATCCCTCCAACCATCCATGCATCCATCCATCCATCTATCCATCCATCCATCATCCATCCCTCCAACCATCTATCTATCTATCATCCATCCCTCCAACCATCCATCCATCCCTCTATCCATCCATCTATCATCCATCCCTCCAACTATCCATCCATCCATCCATCATCCATCCATCTATCATCCATCCATCCATCCATCCCTCCAACCATCCATCATCCATCCATCATCCATTCCGCCAACCATCCATCATCATCATCCATCCATCCATCCATCTTTCATCCTTCCCTCCAACCATCCATCCATCCATCCATCCATCATCCATCCATCTATCATTCATCCATCTGTCCATCATCATCCATCCATCCATCTATCATCCATCCATCCATCCCTCCAACCATCCATCCATCCATCATCCATCCATCTATCATCCATCCATCATCATCCATCCATCCATCCATCTATCATCCATCCATCCATCTTTCATCCATCATCCATCCATCCATCTATCATCCATCCATCCATCCATCCATCTATCATCCATACATCCATCCATCCATCCATCATCATCCATCCATCCATCCACCTTTAATCCATCCATCCATCCACATTTCATCCATCCATCCATTCATCCAACCCTCAATCCATCCACCTATCATCCACCCATCCATCCATCCATCCATCCATCCATCCATTCATCTATCCTTCCATCCATTCGTCCACCCACCCACCCATCCATCCATCCATCCATCCATCCATCCATCCATCCATCCACCAATCATCCATCCACCCATCCCTCCATCCATCCATCCATCCATCCATCCATCCTTTCCAGGTCACAGCGGACACTGGTGTTCATGTCTAGCAGTCACTGTAGACATGGGCACCAGTCACAAGTCATTAATCAGATTATTGTATTTGAAACAATGTCCCCATAGAGGAAACAAAAGGCCAAGAGGTTTAAAATGGATCAAACTATAAATCTATGTGAGTATTTAGAGCACAGCTTCAGGATTTTCTAAGATATTCTAAACTACATGAACTGGGTCAATTTGATTAACCAACTGTTTGACAATAAGTCTGTATTTTCCTTGTTACGAAGCTGATAAAACAGCTTTGATCCTGCATTCATTATTCCAGCAATAAAGACAAGTGCCTCAGATGTATCAAACCAGACCCAAACCATGATACTGCCTCTGTGTTTTGCAAAGGACCTCAGAAATCATATTTTGGATCCAGTGCTAACAGAGTGGTTCTGTATCATGTGGTAATGGTACGTCAAACATAATCAGTAGCGGTGCAACAATACATGTACCCGTATCGAACCGTATCAAACAGTGCTTTAGGTACAATACACACTTGTATGGAACAATACAGATTTTTAAAATTTATTTTATCTGCTAGTCTTCTGAAGATGCTCTGTGTTGAAGGATCAGTGGATCTGTGTTCGACTACTCCACCTAGGCTGCATTTTTAGTGCAGATTCACTGAGAAACTTGCTGTTTCAGCAACATTTAATTTAAAAACTGAACTTTTGAGGTTAAACAAACATTTATAATTAATTTAAATAACAATAATAACAAGTTTAAAAGGGTATGGACATTTCTCTTTTTTGTATCGAAAAAAATATCAAACCGTAAGACTAAAGTATCGAACCGAACCGAATTGTGGATTTTCTGTATCGTTGCAGCCCTAGTAATCAGATCGTCAGTTTACGATGCTAAACCAATGTCCACAGTAAAATCTTCAAACATAAGACTTTAGGACCAGATTAACTAACTAATTTATATTAAATGCTATTTTAGTCAATGGGTTCATTAAATGGTGTTTTTACGGATGACAAAAGTTTTTTTGCACTGCAGCTCATTCCAAGCTACTTTTCCAGCACTGGTAACATTTATTTATGGGCCCAATCAAATAAAGTCATTCTATACAGTGGTTTGCAAAAGTCTTCGTACCCCTTGAACTTTTCCATATTTTGTCACATTACAACCACAAACATAAATATATTTCACTGGAATTTAATGTGAAAGACCAACACAAAGT